GTTTGAAATTGGACTTACTGGTTCGTCTTTAAGTTCAGCTGCTCTCGGATATTAATACTAATAGTTGAAGATTTATATGTTACTGTTACGTACGCCTCCTCGACGCTTCCAGAACATTCGGATCTGGTCACGTACGCATCTTTTGCGCGGGTGAATCAGAGCCGAGGCGAGCCGAAGTTTCTATGAAATGCCCTTATATGGTCATGTACCGCTTCAGGGTGACGCATCCCTTAACTCCATGAGAGGACCATATCTGAGGCGAACATAGAAACTTCTAAAAAATGCCCTTATATGGTCGTCTCCCACTCCGGGCGACGAGCTCATTTGGGTATAAAAAGGGGTTAAAACCATATCCCTTTGGATTAGTGTAGTTCAGAATTCTCGTGCAGCCGAAGGCCCTGTTTCTCCACGACGTGAGTTTTATGAGTGAATTATTATTAACTTTAGCTTTTCCTCGCGGCTTCACTGCGTAAACTGAAGAAGGAATTCTCTTACTGTTAAGAGTTGACCAGTACTTGTATTTATTAGAGAATATAGACTTCTATATACTTTGCAACGAAGAATTCATTTAGAGTCTCATTTCTTTCGCTTCCCATCCAATGTTCCAATTAGCTTGATATCAGGAGTATCCTACGAACCGATACGTCTCAGCCGCTTGAGACGTATCAACGCTGGTAACCCGCAAACATTTGTTCCTATTTCCTAAGTGGCAAAGGGGACAGAACCTCCCTGGTCGTCCACGTTCTGCAGCTATCGAAGCTAACACAAGGTGTTAGACAAGGGTCGTTTGCGCGTCTACGTTCCTTGACCATTGGTTTTGAACCAACCGCTAGCTATAACCCAAGTGGCAAAGGGGACAGAACCTCCCTGGTCGTCCACGTCCTACCTACAGCTACTGAGGCTAACGCAAAGCGTTAGACAAGGATCGTCTGTGCGTCTATTTCCCTACCACCTACAACCAGCGCGCTCATATTTTTTCCCTCGGCCGAAAAGTGGGGACGACGCGACCATGGTGGGGACACCCACATATATAATTCGATTGTATACTATATTATAATTTGTCATACACCGTTAATGAGATGCATACTGGGCGAAAAAGTGTTCAGTCCCCAGCGAACATCAGCGTCAGCCGAGCGCCGTCCGTACGGACCTGCATACACTACGAGTGCTCAGCCCGCAAAGGGTTAAGGCCTTAGTAAACATATCTGCTAATTGTTCACTTGTACTAACATATTTCAATTCGAAATCCTTTTCCTCATAGTGTTGTCTTATAAAATGATATTGCACATCTATATGCTTAGAACGTCTATTAAATTGTGGATTCTTTATAAGTTTAATCGCGCTTTGGTTATCCATAAAAATAATAGGAGCTGTACTTTTACTTGTTATCAAGTCGTTTATCAGTCTTTTGATCCATATCAATTCTTTGGTCGTTAAGCACGCTGCTATAAACTCAGATTCTGTCGTTGATAATGAGACAGACCTCTGTTTTACTGCTCCCCATGCAATGGGTGCACTCAGCCACTTTAATTAAATATCTACTGGTTGATCTTCTAGTGCATTTATCTCCTGCAAAATCTGCGTCGCTATAAGCAGATAGAGTTAAATCGTCTCCGTGACTCGAAAATAAAATACCATGATTAATTGTGCATTTAATGTATTTTAAAATTCGTTTAATCCCGTTCCAGTGTTGTTTTTTCGGTGCTTCGGCGTATTGACTTACTGCGTGAACCGCGTATGCAATGTCTGGCCTCGTAATTAATGCTAAATATAATAAACTTCCAACTGCTTCCTTGTAAGGGGCATTTACGACTTCTTCATCTTCTCCTGGTTCTTGCAAACTCAAGTCTGTATGCTGGTCAACCGGAACAGCTACCGAATTCGCTTCATTCATGTTAAAACGATCGAGCACCTTCCTAGCATATGAAGTCTAATGTGCGAAGATCGATCCGTCGGAACAACGTCGTATCTCCATGGCTAGAAACAAACTCAAAGGTGCAGTCGTTATTTCCAGCACTGTCGCTAGATGACTTAGGAAGTCTTTTATCCTCTTTTCACTCGTTGACGCAACGAGACCATCGTCAATGTATATGGCCAGTATTAATTCTTCTCCATCATTATGAGATGTAAAAACACACGGGTCTGCTGAGGTCGTCTTCAGGTTGAATTCAGCCAGACAGCTAATAAGTTTCTTATTCCAACACCTGGCCGCTTGTTTGAGTTTGAATCATGAAGATTTCTTCGGCGAGCTCTCCATGCAAGAAAGCTGTTTTCACATCAAACTGGCTAATTTGCATTTTTGACCTTGCTGCGATGGTTAAAATCGACCGTATTGATCCAAACGTCACAACAGGACTAAAAGTTTCGCGAGAAACCCTTCACGACTAGCCTTGCCTTGTGACGGGCCGCACGACCACAAGCTGATGGCTTGTACCTGTAGACCAAGCGATTCGGTAATATCTTGGCCCCCGAAGGAGGATCCACCAACTCCCATGTTTTATTTTTTAACAAGGAATCCATTTCTTCGTTCATGGCTTTAATCCAGCCGATCCTTTCGGTGCTGCCAACTGCTTGATCATAATCACTCGGTTCTTGACCTTCTGCAAAAAAGGTATTCG